TGGAGTGACCCGGTTTAGAAATAATTGGCTAGGAGGGGGGGACCGCAAGGGTCCCAGTGTTAGGGAGAAAGAGACAGTGATTCTTAAACTGTTGAGAAACGACACCTCCCTCTTGTCTTCCTTAGTAGCAGGGGCGAAATCCTAAATATAGGCTACTTAGAAGAAGGGTCCCTGGCACGGGATACCCCGAATAGGGAGCGGGGAGCGGTCTTGATGGGGTGTCGAGTTGGTCTCCGGGCAGGGGCAGAGGGCGCCTTGGTGGTTGAGACACCCGTAGCACTCACACATAACACGAGTTCCCAGATAACCTTGATTTTGCTGGGAGGTCCGCAAGGACTGCTATGGTGTGAGCTGTCCGGGAGTTCCCTAGAGTGGAAAGAACTAGAGGCTAGACTAGATTTGAAATGGGGCCCTCAATGTGGCCCAGATCCTGATGTTGAGGGGAAGACCATGCGAGGGCGGGGCCTTATCTGAGCGACTCGGAATGGGCACCAGCAGAAATTCAAAGAAAAAATGAATTCTACTGCTCAGACTCTACACGGTTTCCGGCTTCTCTTTTGCTCCTCCAATTACTGGCCTTTCTCTGCCCTTCCTGCCCTGGCCTTGCACGCACTCTCTCCCACCCCTCTGGCTCTGCCCATTCCCTTGTATGTTTTCCCACTGTGTTGCCGCATTTATTCGGCTGATCATTTGTTGAGGGACACTGCTGTGCCAACCCACTTCCCCTCTGCATTGCTACCGAGTGCCTCCCCTTGCTCTGCCCTCTTCTTCATGCCCACTCTCCTGCGTGGCCCTGACCTACATACCCTCCTGTTCCATGGTGTCTTTCTGCTCCCTACCTGCTCTCAGGTCTCAGCGGCGGTGGCAGCCGAGGTGCAGGATGCGAGAAGGCGCCCCCCGGCCGGGCTCCCGCTCCAGGCCTCACACCCTTGCGGCCCTCTGAGCCCACCATGGCCGTCCCACCAGGCCATGGTCCCTTCTCTGGCTTTCCGGAGCCCCAGGAACACACACAGGTAGGCATTCAGCTGGCTTTTCACCTGCCTGGGGATAGGAAGAGACTGAGGAAAAAAAGGGTCTCCAGGCGGCAGCAGCATGATTGTTGGAAGATCTCTGAGGATGTTGGCGGCCTGGTGACAACTGGAAGAATTTCAGGTGGCGTTTGGAAAGTCCACACTTATTACTCCTGCCATGAGGACTGAGTTATTGAGCTTCTCCATGGCCCTCCATCTCTGGTTTCAAGGGTTAAGAAAATTAAGTGTAATGTTTGTTGGGCTCAGAACTGTCTCTGGCACACAACAGACCAGAACACAGGTCTTGGTGTCCACAAGAGACAGAGGTCTGGAGTGAAAAGCCTGGAGAGTGAGCTGAGGGGAGTGGGAAACCCAAAAAGTCTGATCCCCATCCCAGCGCTTTAAGAACTGGGCACAGACATGGAAATACAGGGAATTCAGTGGCCTGGTTCCCAGAAACAGTGGTCTTGGGTACAGAGAATCCAGGTTTCCATTTCAGTGCGTCCACTGAGCTTTAGAAGGTAATACAGACAGAAAGCAGATGAGCTGACCAGGGGCTGAGTAGACGGTCATTTACTTCATCATGCAACGAGCAGCTGTCTGGGGAACCTCAATGTTTGACAGGCCCCATAGAATGGGATCTGACCCTGGGGAAGCTCTGCTCTTGTGCAGAGCTAGGTAAATGTGGGTATGGCCAAACAGCCATCGGCTTTACCCTTCCTTCTCTCCCTGGAGGCTGGAGGTGAAGGTGCTCTGTGTCTGCCCCTGTCCCCCACAGGTATTGCCTGATGTGCGGCTACTTCCTCGGAGACTGCCCCTGGCCTTCCGGGACGCAACCTCAGCCCCGCTGCGCAAGCTCTCAGTGGACCTCATCAAGACCTACAAGCACATCAATGAGGTGGGTGCAGCGGGGGATTCCCCCGGCTGGGTGCTGAAGAGAGTCCTGGCTGCTTGCCAAGGTCACTCAAGGGTCCGCTTTCCTGGCCGCCTGAGCAGGTATACTATGCGAAGAAGAAGCGGCGGGCCCAACAGGCGCCACCCCAGGACTCGAGCACCAAAAAGGAGAAGAAGGTCCTGAACCACGGTTATGACGACGACAACCACGACTACATTGTGCGCAGTGGCGAGCGCTGGCTGGAGCGCTATGAGATTGACTCTCTTATTGGCAAAGGCTCCTTTGGCCAGGTGTGGGACTCCCCCACTCATCCAGTGTCTGGGTGCAGACAGCCACTAACCCTACCCGCATTCCCTCCACCCCCAGTGTTCGCTTGCTGCAAGTCCTGTCCTGGGCCAGTCTCTCAAGCCATTCAGTTTCCCTCTGTCTCAGTTTCTGTGGAAGTGTAAATAAGAAGACTCCACACTAGGGAACTCACAATTTTGTATCCAGTAGGAGGGCTGTGAGTGCTGGGCTGAGTGTCAGGTGGTCCTCCCACCTCCCCGGGTAACTCTCCATGTCTCGACAGGTGGTGAAAGCCTATGATCACCAGACCCAGGAGCTGGTGGCCATCAAGATCATCAAAAACAAAAAGGCCTTCCTGAACCAGGCACAGATTGAGCTGCGGTTGCTGGAGCTGATGAACCAGCATGACACAGAGATGAAGTACTACATAGGTGAGGCCTGCCCCTGGGTGAGCGCAGGGCGCCTGTGTGGAGATAGCGCCAATAAGGGTGGCTCTTCAGGCTCCTCCGCCTCAGGGGGTCTCAGGCTCCTCCGCCTCAGGGGGTCTCCTGCTGTGGTCATGACTCTTCTTCTGTGCTTATTTAACAGTGGTCAGTGTTTATCCAGTGCTCGCTAAGGGCCAGACTGCTGCAAACATTTCCTGTGAATTACCTCACGCCAGCCCAGTGAGGGAGAGGGCAGTTCTGTGCACGTTAGAGATAGGAAAGTGAGGCACTCAGTGCTGTCACGTACATGAGGGGACAGTTTATACACAACAGAATTAGAGATGTGTCCTCTGGAAAGGGACTGACAAATGGCTTAAAAGGACAGCCAGTGTCGCTTGCCACAAAGACAGATACAGCTAAAAGGAAAGCAGATTCGTTTGTTCATTTGGGTTTTTGTTGGTGGTGCCACTTCTTGGGGTTTTGTTTTGCCATACTGGGGATCAAGCCCAGTGCTTCATGTATAGTAGGCAAGTGCTTCTCCCCAGAACTGCGCCTCTGGACCTCTTTTTACTTAGGTATTTTGAGACAGAGTTACCTGACAAGCCTTGGGTTCATGCTCTTCCTCATCCCCATCTGAAGACCTTGGTCTTCATGCCCGCACGCCAGGCCTGGCTCGGTGTTGTGAATGAAATGAGGAAGCCTGGGATTGCTTTGAAGCTCTATTAGGAGATAACTGCATTTTATTTCCCTATGCTGGGCTGAGGCTTGAACCCAGAGCCTTGTGTTTGCTAGGCAAACAGGCTCCCACCCTTTGGCCATCCCTTAGCCTATGCCAGCGTAACCCTAAGGTTACTCTACCCTTTTTTTTTTTTTTTTTTTTTTGGATTCCAGGCTTCACTGTGTACCAAGCTGGCCCTGAACTCGTCATCTTCCCATTTAGCTTCCCAAGCGCTGGCATTACACAGTCATGCTTACTATTCCCCGCTGGCAGAAACCTTCCTTTTGGTGACAACTGGAAGGTCTGAGAGCCTCAAGAGATTTAGCATGCTTTGCGAGTCCGATGCACAGACACCTGAGGGCTCGCTGCAGTTTAGCAGAGGCGGTTACCGTGTGGCCCTGGGCCGCCTGTCCTCTCGCCTGTTTCTCATCTGTGGCCTGCTGTCCCCCACAGTGCACCTGAAGCGGCACTTCATGTTTCGAAATCATCTGTGCCTGGTGTTTGAGCTGCTGTCCTACAACCTGTACGACCTCCTGCGCAACACACACTTCCGCGGTGTCTCTCTGAACCTGACCCGGAAGCTGGCGCAGCAGCTCTGCACCGCGCTGCTCTTTCTGGCCACGCCCGAGCTCAGCATCATCCACTGCGACCTCAAGCCCGAGAACATCCTGCTCTGCAATCCTAAGCGCAGTGCCATCAAGATCGTGGACTTTGGCAGCTCCTGTCAGCTTGGCCAGCGGGTGCGGCTCCGACTCTGGGCAGGGCCCGTGTTTTGGGTGGAATGGGATAGGACAGCTTGGTTTTGACCCTGGAAGCTGATGCCTGAGAGATGACATTGGGCATAGGGAGGCCGGTCTGAAGGGAGGGGAGCAGAGATGAAGAGGGCAGAGGAGACTCAAGCAAGGAAGAGAAAGGGTGACCCCCAGAGCAGAGCCTGAACTCTGCTTTGCGGACTTGTGCTCTTCAGGTCACAGGTAGAGAGACCTTGAATTCGTGCAGCCTTGTGTGAGCAGGCAGAGGGGTCACTCACTACTAGTAGTAGTTCAGTATGGGATGGCCAGCCTCTCCTAAACAGCAGGGACCAGAGCTGGGAGCAGAGGCAGGGTTAAAGCAGGCCAATGAAGACCGGAAGCTGATGAGCAGGACAGCGACTGGTTTGTGCAGCATTGCTGAGAATCTAGAGGCTCCATCCTGTGTTGGAGCAGGGGCTTGTCTTCAGTTGAGTGTCCCGGGGGAACCAGCAGGGGAGCCAGTGCCCTGACTCCTGTCCCCTTCCCCAGATCTACCAGTACATCCAGAGCCGCTTCTACCGTTCCCCCGAGGTGCTCCTGGGCACACCCTATGACCTGGCCATCGACATGTGGTCCCTGGGCTGCATCCTTGTGGAGATGCACACCGGAGAGCCCCTCTTCAGCGGCTCCAATGAGGTGTGCCCCTGGAAGGGGTGTGCTGGAGGTGGAGGGGTGGAGCCTGGCCGCCCGGCGCCCCTGACCGCCACCTGCCCGCAGGTGGACCAGATGAGCCGCATTGTCGAGGTGTTGGGCATCCCGCCCGCGCCCATGCTGGAACAGGCACCCAAGGCTCGCAAGTACTTTGAGCGGCTGCCTGGGGGCGGCTGGACCCTACGAAGGACAAAGGAACTCAGGAAGGTGCGGCCCCTGCCCTGTGCCACTTCTCCCTCCCTGGGTGGCCCCTCACTCACACTTGGGGCTCCCCTCTCCCTGCGTCTTTCCCTGTCTTTCTCCCCCA